CGAACAGAGGCTGCAGTAATCATTTACAATAATTATGATACGAATTACTTGCGAGGCCGGCAACGTATTGGAACGGGAAGCTTTTTGAGAACACTTAACAAGCATCAGGAACATCATATTTGTTTACTTTTAATTGTTCACATTATTAAATTTGATTGTTATTAAATATGGCCTTTTTATTCATTGCAATATTCTACACTGAACCATTCTGCACACTACTTGAGGGTTTTCTAATAAACCTATCCTTTCTTTCACGAGGCAATGAAACTAACTTAGACGTTTAAACCCCATCTAGAATAGTGAGTCTTCATATTCTGATATTGTTTATATTATTGACGTTTAAACCCCATCTAGAATAGTGATTCTTCATATTCTGATATTGTTTATATTTTTGCATCTTTAAATATAAATGTGGAACCTCTAATACGTATTTTTTTTTACTTTATTATTTAAGAGGAGTTTAAAAATATATGTTTCTGAAACTAATACTACAAATAATGAAAGAAAGCAGATCAACGAGGATCTACTTACTTGTAATGTAAATTGATCAGTGATAACACGGCTTTTGCCAGGTATGATGGGACAAAAGCTAGATGCGGTAATGCAGAGCTTTACTCCAAGTTCTTTCATTAAAAAAATCCTCAATAAATAACGTAAAAATAAACTATTAAACGGTGCTATAAACTATATGTAACACAAAAAAAGAAAGAAAAAGAACAAGGAAACAAACAATAAAAAAGATAAGATAACTACAGCTCTATTGAATTAGAGTTCATTTTAAAAGAAATAAAAAGTTCAAGTAATTCAGGAACTTTTTCAAGGAGAAAAAGAAAAGGTAAGAAAACTTTGCATTGTTGAAAATTTATGGTATATCAATTATGAAGGAGCGGAAGCCATGTGAACGATATAGTTTGATATTGTTGAGGAAAAAAAGGTTACAAATTGCCTAAATCTTAAACGGCATAGTTTAAAAGATATTATGAAAACTTGGGATTTTAGTTAAAGAAAGAAGAAACACTAAAACTTTATCTGATAACCACAACATTTAATAATAACACTTTAATAATAATTGTAACAACAGTTCGCAACAAGTTATGTGTATTTGTTACTATCGCTATCAATTTAGGTTGCTCTATAGATAATTTTAGATCTTACAAGAACTTAGCAGTTATTTTTCTATCTATCACCCGAGCGATCGATAAATTGTGAAGTTGGAATTGTCCGTGACCCAAATTTTTCCACCGCCAAGTTCGGTCAGACGTCACACAGGCGCTTCATCATAACGAGCAAAGGATTGGATCTAATGATGACTTTACCGCATCATATATAGAATATTATTCCAACTCTCACTTTTAATGAGGAGGCGTGAAAAATAAAAATCACCACGTCATGCCTAAAATAAAGAGACACGTTATCTTCTGTTTATTTATTTTACCTTCCCAATAAATAACATAAGAACTAATCTCGAAAGGAAAACAAAATCAGAAACTGATAATTTTTAGTTGTTCATTTATCCAATCTAACATTAACACAAATAATTTTTCACGTACGAGAAATTAAAAAAAATAATCACGGGAGTTCTATACTACAAATCCATAAATCGAAGTATTTCCAAAGTTATCTCCCCCCCCCCAATAGATTCCATCAGAATTTCCCTTCAATTAAAAATGCTATAAATTATAAAATTTTATTCCGGTCTTTTAAGAGTTTCTGAACAAAAAGTGTTCAACATTGTCTTCTGAATAGTCTTTTGGGGCCGTTAAAATATTACGTAACAAGCTAAAGGGTGGAGATATGTATTATGCTTATTTTTGATGACAAAGAGGGGAAGGGGAATGCTTAGGTCATTGCAATTACGTAATGCTAACATAAATATAGTGCTTACGTAAGACATTAAAATTAATTTTATTCAAAACTTTCTAAAAAAGCAAAGCAAAATATGTTCTTAAAAAAGTTACAGGAGGAAAAATTTCTTCAGAATAAAAGCTGGAATTCGGGAAAAGAAAATGTTAGAAGAAAAAATTTTCTTAAGAGTTTCCAGAAGTCAGGAGAATGAACCACAGAAGAGAAAACGCACAAGATTCGTAAAAAATATCTACTCAAAATTTTATAAAAGGAGATAAAACGTTAGTTTTGCTGTTACCTCGTTTATTTGAATTTAATTTAAAAATTGGATTGCTACGAAAAAGTCAAAGTTAAAGCAAAAACTAGGAAGGGGGTGTTGTGACTTTCTTACTTAATAGAAAAAGGATTGTTATTCACTTAATTTTTCTTTTAAAACGACGATTACCAAAAATAGACTTATTATTTGAACGGCTCCATACAATTCACATTATTGATTATTATAACTCAAAACGTATTCAGGAAGTCAATTTTAAAAAAAAGGGGGAGACTCGTTGACTAAATCGTAGTTTTTATAACCCAGCTATCAAAGCAAACAAAACGCAAGCCGGTCGACGACATTTAGAGGTCCAACAGAGAAACTACGATATTTAGCAAATATTTAGGATATACACTGAGCAATTATATGAAGACTCGCAGTCACGACATATATTAGTCTTGCAGAGAAACAACTAAGGAAAAAAAAATAAATAAAAAGAAATAATAATACTTGATAGATACAGCTTTAATGATAGTGACGTTACGTATCACTTATGTAACTAGATACAAGACATTAGACCAAACTAGAGTCCCGGGAGATACCTATTTCCAAATTTCATAGGAGTGTGTCACACAATTCACTTTATTGAATAAGGAGTGTGTCACACAATTCACATTATTGAATATTACAACTCAAAACGTATTTAGGAAGCCAATTTAAAAAAAGGGGGAGAATCGTTGACTAAATCGTAGTTTTTCTAACCCAGCTATCAAAGCAAACGAAACGAAAGTCGATCGACGACATATAGCTGTCCAACAGAGAAACTACGATATTTAGCAAATATTTAGGATATACACTGAGAGATTATATGAAGACTCGCAGTCATGACATATATTAGTCTTGCAAAGAAACAGCTAAGAAAAAAAAAATAATAATTTTAAAAAAAAAACCTAATAGATACAGCTTTAAAGAAAGTGACATTACGTATCACGTATGTAACTAGATACAAGACATTAGACCAAAAAAGAGTCCCGGGAGATACCTATTACCCAAATTTCATAGGAGTGTGTCGACTGCTTAATAATTACAATATACAACTTTATTGGAAAAACCTGTCACCAACCAAATTCTCGATGACTAAGCCCTCTCTTGAAGAACTAAGCTAAACCTAACATGAAATCAAGAATTCATATTCCGAACACTTATGATAAAAAGAAAGAAAAAAAAAATTTATAGATGCAGCTTTAATGAAAGTGACGTTACGTATCACTTATGAAACTAGATACAAGACATTAGCAGTGGTGCAAGTGGCAAAACATGGTTTTGGAGCATCTTTGGAGCAACAAAAATGCAATTTTGGAGCAGCAAAACAAAGATTTGGAGCACATTAATAAAAAGAATTAAAACAAGAATTTAATAACAAGAATTTTTAATTTTGTTAAAAATTCAGTACGGTTAATTAATACAGGGGTAGCAGCAAAGTTTTTTAAAATTTTAGGGTAATTTTAGGAAGTTTTGCAGAAAATTTTAGGGGTAATATATGATTTTGCTAGGATAAAAACAGATTACACGGTAGTTTATTACATAACAGAAGATTATTATAATTCATCCATACATATCATAAATAATTGCAAGCCATAAAATAAAGCTCTGAAATTTATTAAGTCAAGAATGAAATCTCTAAAGTGTAAAAATGAAATTTCAACTTTACATATTACCTATCAAAAATTAAATGCATAATTCAGGAATAATCAAAAGTGAGAATAAATCAAGAGAAAAAAATAAATTAACACCAACTTGGAAAAATTAAATATACTTTATTAAATCCAAAACAATTCATAAATTAAAATGCAACGCTAAATAAAAAAATTAAGGAATATTTGACTGAAACTTTACAAACTTAAAATCATTATAAGCGATATACATATTAAAAAAATTCACAATTTCATTTCTTTCCTATCCTTATCAGATTACAGAAAATATACAGAAAATGATTTAATCATTTATGAAGCAAAAATATACCATATAAAAACTGTATCAACTTAAATATTAACAAAAATAACACTGTCTTAAATTGTATATACTTTAAACAATTAAAATTTAAATTCTCATATCTCTGATACTTATATGTACTATTAAAGCACACAGAGATGTTTCCAAAATTTAATATCAGATAAAATTTAAGGAAATCATGACAAAAATATTGCTAACTAAAGTTACATATACTGTAAATAATTCCCTTTCTCATCCTCTACAATGTTTATATAAACAATAAAAGTATTAAAAAAATAGTTCGAAAAATCAGAACAAATAATCTGCATACCTTTCATTAAAATTATTACCATAAATTAAAATTCTATTTCGATTCTACAGTAATTTTTTTTAAAAAAAAAGGACCTTTCTCTCTAAAATAGAATACTTTATTTGATTTTTATTTAATTTTTACCTTCTTAATCAAAACTTTATTATTACCCTTTACCTTAGCTTATTAAGAAACTGTTGTGTGATATTATTAGATATCAAATCAGCAATTTATATTAGAAGTTAGAGAAAAACAAATTAATTATGATCATTTTTCTAATATATTCTTGATATGATTTATGAGATTCTTTTACTGCCCTCAATAGTGTTGTGGTGATCTTCAACACTCCTCCATAATTTTGAATGGTATCTTTGATTAGTCTAAGAGACATAACAGTATTCTCATGTTGACTCACATTAATCATTGCTTTATTTATAGAAAAACCTCTCTGAGGATCAGAATTCCTGTGTGGCAAAATTAAAACAGTTTTAATTAATGTAGTTAAATTCTTATATTTTAGATTATTGCTTTTTTATTTATATTTAGCCTATAACTAATTTTTTAGGAACACCAACAAAATTTTATCAGATTTTTAGGAATTTTAGGGTCTGAGCATAGTTTTAGGAATTTTATGAATTTTAGGGGCCCCTGTTAATAACATATCTTATTTTTTACATTTCTTTGAAGGTCCCTGCATTAACAAGTTAAGTTTATTTTTAGTATCTTCCAATGCAGTTAAATATTCTGCTATCCTTGACTTAGCCTCAGATAAAAGGATCTGTCCACTTTCTATAATCGACATGTCTTTATTTTTTAACCCATCCTTAATATTTTTTTCAGCTGTGGCTAAGAGATCTTGAGAAGCCTTCAATTTTTTCTGAAATCAATTTCAGCAGCTTTCAATCTACTTTCCTCAGTTTCAGTGTTTTCACATTCCTTTCGCTTTTTGCTTTCTCTTTTCTCAACCTCTAATCGAGCAGAATAATTTTTAAATGCTCCACGAGCCACTTTAATCATTTCTTTGTCAACTTTAAAGTTATCTAAACCCCCTATTTTGTTGATATGTGACACAACTTGTCTCAAACCATTAACACTATACAAATTTAAACTTGCCCTATTGTCAAGTAGTTTTTTGTTAACACTAAAACCTCTTTCAACATCCGCATTCCCATGTGGTAGGCACAAAAGAGCTTTAAAAAGCTTTGTCAAAAGAGGATATTTTATATTTCCCAAATTATCTTTCTTCGCAAAATAGTTATTCCAAAACACATCAATTGATGTATATTCATTTGAGTCGGAGCCTTCTGGTTCCCCACGTAACCTTGTCCATTCATCTAGTAACAAAGATGCCTCTTCAGGTTTTATAATGGATGGGGTTACTGTTGCCAGATATCTTATCGACCTCAAAGAAGTCTCCTCCATTCTCATTACAGGATGCAACACTTTCAGATGATACAGTAACCTATTTTCAAGAGGCAATGTTTTTAATAACTTTTTAGTGCATGCCAAATAAAACGACCTGGCACCCAAATACATTGATTTTTTTTCTGAGGAAGATAAAGATGTCATCGCCTTTGTGGTATCAAGTCCTACATCTATTAAATTTGAATTTAGCCAAATTTCTGCGTTTTCTACATCTAATGATTTTAAGTCCTTACCAGACAAACTAAGAAAAGCAGAACTCTTTAGAAACCGTCCTAACAACGCTTTAACAAGAGACACCATTTCATCATATAGCATGTGAATCAATGGTGCCTCAGTTTGGAAAAGACCTAAAAATCTGTTTAATATAGCTGAAATATTTCTTAAAAATAGAGCTTTTGGCAAAAGCAATTTATCTTTGAGGGCTTGCTTCACCCTTTTGTAGCGAGCACCATCCCTGCTGGTTGTACCTAGATCTTTTTCGAAAAGTTTTGAAATAACATCAAACAACTCGAGAAAACGCTCTAACGAGGTCTCTAATGTAAGCCAACGGCTACTAACATGCCTGAAAAGAACCTTTTCGGTCACGTTTAGTTGGCCTTGCAGTTTTCTAAAATCAGCACTTTTAGCTGAGGAATGCTTGAAAAAATAATAAAGGTCAATTATAATACCTTCTACTTCACCACCAAAAGTGGTTAAGGCTTTAGAAAAGCTGTTATGAATTTTGTGTAAAGAACAGCTGGAAACATCCAGTAACTGCGCATTTTGGGACTCTACTTTCGCTTTCAAACTCTTCATTACATTTGGGCCGTCACTAAAAAAGCACAGAAGCTTATCTTTGGGTAACTCATCAAAAACCTCACATAAGCACTGAAACATTATTTCAGCTGTTCCATGGCCTATATGGAAACTTTGTAAATGTTGGACAATAACTTGCCCTTTTATATTGCTATAAAAACGAATGAGAATATCCATCTGTTGCATTCGTTTTTCAGGTAAAGGTGTTTCATCCACCATGATAGAAAAAAACGCTCCACTATCTCTAATTTCTTCCAGAAGACTTTTCTTAAAATGTGGACCAAGTCCATCTGAAATGAGATAAGAAGCTTTAGCTCTAGAGCAAGAAAAGTCTTCTGCAATCTTAGAATCAGAGAACATTTTGGGAAATAACATTGTAGCTGCATCACAAAATGAATATGAAATTCCTTTTGCTGCCAAAGAGACAACAAACTGTATTTCAGCAGCTGACACTTTTTCATTATGAGTCATCACACAGTCTATTCCTCTTGAGTTGGAAAAGTCAATTCTTCTTTGTGTTGATTTCATGAGCATTCCCTCCTTATCACGATGATTCTTACACTTATCAATATGACCAGCATTTTTTGAATGCCGTTTGATTGCAGCAGATCCATGGTGTTTGCAAGAAATTGTCACATTACAAAATGTGCAAATAGCCTCATCTGGTTTGGAGCCTTTAATACACCAAACTGATATTAGATCTCCATTTAGGTCACACTCCTTTAATACATCTTCATTAAATTTACTACATCGTCCACCATCTAAAAAAATAAATTAGACATTAATAAAAATATATAATTTTTTTATAATAATTGTACAATAGAGATTTATAATATTGTACAATATAGTCAATTTTCCCAATATGGCTATAATTGTTCCATCATCATGTAATGAAAGTATTTGAATTATGCAAATCACTTAAATTATATAACTTTTAATGAAACCATGAATATTAAGCTATATGCAATACACCAAAGCAAGCTTAGTTTTAAGATTTTAAATGAAAACTTGCATTATATTTTTTTTAGATTAAATTGAAATTTTAAAAAAAAAATCAAATATGTTAAGTTATCAAATAACTTAATATAACAGCCACCAACATAACACTTAATAATACAAAATTCTACTATATTTGAAAAAAAAAAAGACTGCTTTGAAGGTAAAATTATCTTTTGAAACAAGTTAAAATATTAATCCCTTTTAATACCTTAAAGCATTCAGTGACTGGGATAGTTAATGAAATTATTAAACATATCTTAACACTTAAATTTTATGTTACTGAAATTGTTGACAATGTTTTGTTTTTCGTTCTTTTTTTAAGACTTTCTTTTCATAGAATAACATCATTATTTGAAATCAAAAGTAACGTCGATGATTGGCGCTGCAACCTACACTATGATTTTAATATACAATTAATTAATATATTTATATTACAAATTAAAAAATTTATATTATAAATGTAAATTAGTGAATGGCCCCTAATATTTAAAGACAATGTATATATATATTTTTTTACTTAGTACAGTATTTCATTAATGTATTGATTTAAGAAACTAAATAATTTTTAAATGGAAATACAATGGAATGAGTATTGAAGCTAAAAATTTTTTGTCAGAAGTAAATTATTATACTGTCACTACACTCATATTTTAAAAATCTGTGATAATTAAACTTTTTTATACCAATTGTTCTGATTCAAATCATTAAGAGATGAATTAAAGTACTTTTGAATGACAAATCTGAATTACATAAGAATTTTTGCTGCATTCAAAATATTGCCTCTAAATATTTTTAAGTTTTTTCCTGAAACAAATTAAGAGCATTAAAAATTTTGAAGATAATAATAATAAAATGCAATAAGTAAAAAAAATATAATAAAAAATAAATGTTTTAAAAAATATGCAATTAGTGGATGGTCCCTTGGATAAAAATGTACGTTCTTTACGTTTAAGAAATTTATTAATTCATATCTTTATTAAATTAAATGAATAAAAGGGAGATGGAAGTTTTGAGGCCATGAAGCTTTGAGATTCTTGCCTGCTCTGAAAATCAACAAGAAAATATGTACTTAGTGAATGGTCCCCAAGTTAAATTCTAAGATCATGGTACTAATCTATAAACAGAATAGCGCAAGAAGGCCATTAGATTGTCATTGACGAAGACGATGGCACCTCAATAACCAGGAAATTAACAAGAGAAATAAAATTTTCTTTTGCTATTAAAATTTGGCAATGTTTAGTTGGTCCCCGAAAATTCGAGAGAAGTTTCGGTTGCATTTCAGAGAGCGGGAAAAAAAAAGCCTGAAATTGAGAATATGTTGCAAAATAAAGCAGAGTTGCACATGAGAGTTCAAAAATCCTTCCCACTGAATCCAGCTCAGTATGTATTATGCACAGGCAAATCCACAAGTAATTCATCAAAAATGTAATATGATCCGCTTCATACGCTAGGCGCCTGTTATACGTAGGTTGCATGAATAGAGAAAAAATGGCGAAAATCGATATGGTAAAGAAAATATATATTATTTTGGAAAAGAAAAAATTAAGTACTTTTTAAAAACCACCTAATGAAAAAAAGCACCTTTAAGAACTTCTAAAAAACGAAAATAAGCGCTTTTGAAAAACGCTATGCACCTGGTATGTATTTAATAAAAATAAAAATTCGTTCATTAATCGCATTAAAAAAAAAAACTTATAAAAAAATATAAAAAATTTATCACAAATCTAAAAGAAATATTGAATAACAGGTACTTACTTTTTGAAGTCATTTTTCTTATTCTTTTTCCATCAGCTTGGAACCAAAAAGAATGGAATGCTACTAACTAAATAATAAAAAAAAGAACAAGAACGCTCAGCTCACAGTAAAATATGCACGTGCTCGTTACTGTAGCAACTCCCCACATGGCATAAGCTTGGTTGCCATAAAATCGTGACTTGGCGATATCAAGGGGAAAATACCCGTTTTGGCGCAGCTTGGCGCAATCTAAGCCAATTCTTTCAATTTGGAGCAGGTTGGCGCAGGCTTCCACAATTGGCGCAGTTCGGCGCAATTGGCGCAGCGCTTGCACCACTGCATTAGACCAAAGAAGAGTCCCGGGAGATACCTATTTCCCAAATTTCATAGGAGTGTGTCGACTGCTTAATAATTACAATATACGACTTTATTGGAAAAACCTGTCGCCAACCAAATTCTCGATGACTAAACCCTCCTTTCAAGAACTAAGCTAAACCTAATATGAAATCAAGAATTCATATTCCGAACACTTATGATGAGATATTGCGTCAGAAAGGTTTCAGATGTAACTAAAAAAAAATATCAAAATAAATGACTTCCTTCTTTGGCGTAAGTTCGGCCGCAAATTTCCGGTTCCCAATATGACTTCGAGGACTCTTCCCAAATCTGAAGATGACCATTCATCGATGTCGCAAGGAGGAAATTTCTATGATTTGATACAGTATATGACAAGCATTCATTTAACTTTTTCATTCAGATAATTACGATTGTGGCGGTGTCATTCATCTTAAGCGGATGCTAGTTCTCTATGCCTGTCTCAATGCAAGATTTGTTTCATATAATGAGACACACTCTAAATAATAATCTCAAAACAAGTCATCAACATCGTTATATTATTTTCATGTTACACTTCACCGTTAACAATTCTATATTTATGTATGACGCTGCCAATATAAAAATTAATGTAGAAATAAATTATTAGGTATATTACTATAAATTGTTATTCAAATTATGAGAAAGTTTTTTTTTTTTTTAAGGGGAAAAAAAGGAAAGTTTCAAGACATCAAATACTTAATTTCGTAATTAAAATGTATTTTGTTTCAAAAATATTAAATTTCAAAATGATAATTAATTTTTTTTCTATTTATGTTACTTGATCATTAGCGATTTTCGTGAATTCTGAATAAGAGCTGTGATGATAACTGTATTGCTAATATTGAATCAAATAATACGTACGGTTTCGTGAATATACATTAACGGAAAGAAAAAAGAAGAAAAAAACTGATAAAACCCAGTTTCTTAAAGGTTTTAATACTAACAGCGTTCATTAAGTAATGTATTTTACATAAATGTTATATGATGGCTAAAATCTCAATTCCTACTCTGTTACATAAATATAACAAGGAAAGTATGTAGCTATAAATATATGCATGTGACATAGGAAGAAGATAGGATTCAAGACATTTTACTCTCTTTTAAAAATAGAAAAGGGTACATCACAACACTCCTCGTCAACTGTAAACACTTTTAATTCAACTCTTTCCTGTGATTGTCATCTACGGAGCGGAACAAAAGCGAGCAGGTAAATCGGAAAAGACAAACACACAAAATCACCTTGAGTACTGTGATAACTGTTTAAACTGTCGATTAAGTTGACATTTCCGATCCTCATTTACATCCACGAGCGGTAAGGTTAATCACTGTATTAGATAAAAGAGTTTATTGTTAGCTACAAGTACATGTTAATCAAGGTCATTAGTATTATTCGAAAGAATCAATTCTTCTAACACGTGGCAATGTAAAATTCAAATCCTTAAAAAAGCTGATTTTTAAATGCTATTAAATGGATTATAAGTCAAGTATCGCGAATCAGTCTTTTAAAATGCATGATTAGATATGAAATCTGATAAATTGCAGCAAAATTTATGATATTGCAAGGATTAAAAATAGGCCGTTAAAAATAAGATTAAAAATATTAAAAAAAGGGGGAATGAATACTAAAAAATAAGTAGAACTGCATCTAATTTGCCAGCAAACTTTCATTATAGATTTTTCTGACAGGTACCTATTTTGTGAAAATTTAGACATAATTTGTGAAAAATTAAAAATTATATTAAAAAATCAACACAAAAATATGGATTTATCGTTTCTTAAGGGATACAAAAATAAAATTTTAAGAGGAAGTATTTTGTGAAACGACCGTTTTTCCTAAAATTGAATTTGTGAAACTACCGTTTTTCCTAAAGTTGAATTTGTGAAGGTACCGCTAAACGGTAGTAAATTCGGCCTGGACAGACCCGTGATTAATGTTCAACAAAACTCATGATCAATGGAAATATTTAAAAAAAGTCACAGATCCAATAAGACCTTACCTTTAACTCGACTTAAAGTTTTAATTTTAAACTCTATACACAAACTTGTTGAAAACTAGAGACCTTTTTTTAACAGTTTAATTAAAATCAAAAAATAATTCTCAGTTCTGCAATATTCTTTTTGAGATCTAATAATGAGTAATTTCTAAAATACAGTATATAAGTAGACTTTTCAAATCTCTAAAAATTTACGAAAATCACGGGGTCGACTTATAAACCGTTAATGAAATCGGATATTCGTTAATTGTGAAATATCTAGGCATTTTAAACAATCAGATAGATATGAGCAATTCTGTATAGATTCACTTCTTTAAAAAGAAAATAAAAAATAATAATATTTAATATAATATATACAATTAATTTTGCCTTATTTCCTCATTAAATTTCCTTACATATAGAGGATTTTTAGAGACAATACTTTAAATTATGTCTAAAATTTAAAATTGAATATAGGAAAAGTTAAGATAATTTATTCATGAGTATTTAAAAAAAAATGTAACACATCTAAAACTTTTAAAGCATATGAAACTACAAGTTTAAAGATTCCAGAACATCATTTGTGTTGGATTAAATAACGTTAGCAAAGTTTTCATACAGATACCAATGTGTAATGAATTCTACATCATCTTTGTCCGCTATGTCTCACAAAAAAAAATAGTGTTCACCTCATTAAAAATTCCATACTGTTTTGTAAAAGATTTTACAATAACATGTGAATCCACATTTTGTAACGCTTCTAAGTCTCATTTGATACATGGCGTGTTGAAGAGCAACGCGGAAATTCTTTGTCGTTGTACGCATTTTTGACGTGAAGTATTTTTTAATTGAACAATTTTGTAGACTTAATAACTTAATGATTTTTTTCCTTCTTTTTTTTAAAATTTTAGATTTTTCTTTTTTCAGCGATCGGCTTATACACCTGACATACCAGAAATTTGCTATCTCATAATCAAAAATTGGGGGTCGACGGTATTAAATTAGATTAGGAGGTTCCGCAACCTGTTTTTTTTTTTTTACGCTCGTGTTCAATCAACACCTTATTCTAGGAGGTGTTGGTTCAACGCTGTTTTTCAAACAGTTTTAGTTTTAAAATTATGAACAAAGAAAAAAAGATTTTTTCCTCAAATCATCAGTGTTCGCGAAAAAATATGAGAGAGATTTTACTCAACGTGTTAACTCTAACGTTAACACTATATGAGTTTCACAACGCATGCGCGAAAATTTCCTTATACATCACAGTGCCGCTAAGGCCATCGGTAGAACATAAAATTAAGCGCTTCATTTTACGTAAGACGAACGCAATGCAAAAGCTCTCTATTCTCTGAAGGGCTCTTTTTAATGATAAAATAATTTATGGGCCAGTTACCATGCCCTAATTTCGCCTAAAATGATTCCCGTTGATAAATAATTGGCAATTATTTAACAAAAATCTCTTAAATGAATTTATTTAATAATCGAAAGAATCAGAAGAAAAAAAAGGAAAGAAATTGAAAGTACTAGTAGAAAAGCAAAAAGAACAATTAGGAGTAAGAAAGGAAAACGATTCCCAAGAAACTTTCCTTTCTTCTCGAATGCAATGGGAGAAACAGGTACGTGAGAAACAAAAGTCCACTTCTTTTGTCCTTCGATCATTTCCGGCATTCCTGCTCCCATAAAGATGACATATCTGTAGAATGATACGGAAAACCGGAATAAAAACAACTCTCTCAGTTATTTCTGTACATCCTTTGTCCAGATTATTTTACTGCCCACACTAAGGTTTAAAAACTCTAGCTATCTTTATCGAGAAAGGGTTAAATAGCACTGGTGCCAAAGATCCTGATTTTTGTTTGGTTTGTTGGCGAATGAATTTCCCCGGTGGTAGAATGAAGCAAAAGATTATTATTTTATTGTCCGACAAAAGACAAGAGGATATTATAAAAATTTTTAATTTGAAATTGCATTCGAATGCAACTAACATTGGCAGAATCGGGTTCATTTTTATTTCGATGCCACAGGTAATTTCGAACATAAATTTATTTATTTAAAAATATATATATAGCCAGTGCCTTAAAAAAAAGTTAAAATGCACTTCTGCTTGGTGACTTGGCATTGAGGACTTCAGGTTGTTTTTCAAAGTCTCCGTCATAACATGAAATGATGCTTTTTTGCAAATAATATGCCATTTTTATAACTGATGCGAGCCAGCAACAGTTACTAATGACTGTTAGATCAAGTTTAGCCTATCTAAAGCCAGTACTGTCTGCGCTTATTTTGAAAATGGCGCAAAATGCCAAATAGAGAAAAGGAAATGAAAAGCGTTGCTAGTCTAATCTTTTAATATTTAAAAACTTCCTCCAATGCGGCATTACCTGGGCTCATAAAAATTTGCAAAAACTGAGAATATGGCAGTGATTTTGATAATTTCCATATAGGTTGAAAAATGCCGCATATTGGCAATTTTTTGTATGAGTTTAATAAGTTTTAAAATACTTAAGTTACTTGTCTGTTCTAAGCCCAGATCATACTTCATGGCAAGATTACATATTTAGTTTTAAAAAATTATCGCATTGCTTCCTTCAAGTGTAAGTTCAATTAGATTATTTACCCATAAAAAAATCCTAAAGGATTTACAGCCCAATACCGAAAGATATCCGCATGCTCAGCATAAGCAAAGTGATCATGGAAAATGGAGCAGCTTAAAGCTCGCATAGAGAAATGAATAAGAATTATGGTCGAAACTTAAAGAGGAAAAAAAAACTGAAAGTAAACGAAAATTAAGTACAGTTAAAGAAAGTGGACTGTTTTTCTGAGATAAGAAGCCTGGATAGAAGGGACTGGTTTAAACTAGATTTTTTTCCTCTTTTTTTAACATTAAATCACGAGTTAAAAATATAAAATGTGTGCAGTTTCAACTGAAACAACCAACAAATTCGACCTATTTAAAAACATGGTATTAATAAATACAAACTACTAAGAAAATGCAGCAACTGCAGAACTAGTCACTTTACATTACAGTAAACAGAAAATTTCCGGGAATAACTTGAGGCTATTCGACCTTGAGCAGTTTAAAATATTGGTGATTGATAACTGGGAAGAATCATCATCAGAATGTGACGGTCGAATTGAGAGTAGGTATTTTCTGATGTAATCCAGTTACGTGAGGAGAGTTTTTTAATAGCTCCAATCAACATTCAATGCATTTTCAGCATTTATGCGAAACGATTTGGAATGATTTCATCACCAAGTACTTCATTATTTTTAGAAGCAATCCCATCTTAAAAGATCTCCACCATCTTGAATTCTTCGTTCAATTTTTAATCTGCGTTTTCTCGATTTTTTTTTCCTTGTACCTATGATAATTTTGATGAAGTATCTTTAAGACAGTACAATACCTTTTAAAAAAAAAAAACAGAAAGTAAAGGGATTGCTTTATTAAATTAGACGAAATAGCGCTTGATAATTTTTAGAACTTCTATGAATTTTTCCTCAAAACTTTAATGCAATGAAATGATGCGGTTTGTGAATTTGGATGAATAATTTAAAACTACACGTTTCTCAGTTTTTAGATTTTTTTAAAATCTAATTTTATTTTAGTCTAAACTGATTGGGA